GGCAAAGTCTGTTGTACGTGTTTCACGTATAGGACAGCTGAGTTCCAGAGGGTGAGTGAACAACAGCCTGTTTTGATTAAGCTAGCTGCACTTGGGAGCAAGCAGCTTGTTAAATGGTGAGAAATTAAGACAGCATGAACTTTGTTAACCAGAAGCTGGAGGCAAGGCAGAAATTTCTAGCAGCATCTTTTAGAGCAGGGTCAGAACATGCAACAGCTCTGTCCAAACACTGCTGCCAAGTTTTATGGGGGAAATAAAATAGCTGTATTCCTTCAAAATTCAGACTGAGGATTGCAGATTACTCTTTCACTGCTTAGAAACCCAGGTAAACTCCAGGAGTGTCAGTGGCTTGGACTACATCCAGACTTAGAAGTACTTTAGGATTTCCTCAATTTGTGCGTGCCTGGGTGATGTTGAATAACCCATTTTTGTGTTTTAAATAGCACTCTTTTTTATTTTCCTTTTTAACTGGATGTGTTTCTTCTGCATTGTAACCATTACCACTTGCAGATTTCCATCTCACAGGTATTTTAAAAACCAGCCTAACTTACATTACTGACATGAGGTTCTTTGACAACAGATTTGCTGTTGGCATTTTCTTTTGAAGCTTAGCTGTGGAAGGTCTTGTTTAGGTCTATGGGTTAGTACACTTACTGCAGAAACAGAAGAACCAGTGTCTGGAGGAGGCCCTTAGCTGTCCTACATGGGGAGGAAGGGGTGCAGGAATCCCATCTTCATCTTGCCTTTGGTGAAAGATCAATCTCTATTCATCTTTATATGCTCACCCGGCTATGGAGAAATTGCCAGAGCGTTCAACTACTCACCTACTTGTTAGGATGCTGATGGGAAAGGCACATTTGAATCCCTCCTCCCCAAGGATCTTGAGTCTCATTCCCCTGCCCAAGCTGCAGGGCAGGGATCTGAATGTCAGGCAGGAGTGCTTCTGCACAGAGTGCCTGTGCTTAAAAGCAAGCAATCCCAGCGCAGATACCCCTCAGAGCTGGGACTGTGCCAAGCTCTTTCCCATAAGGGAAGCCCGAAGGCACTCACATAATATTAAGCACTGGTTTTGTTAAAACCGGTTAAAACCACAAGCTTAAACAAAGTAGTTTCTGCAGCAACAGAAAGCATGAGAAGAGACACAGGGCATAAACTCTCTCTCATCCCCCACACAGCCTGGCAGCTACAACTCTTCCCCATTTTTCATGGCCTCCTACTTGCAACAAACTCACAACTCCTCAGGGGCCTCTGGAAGAAAAGTCTTTCCATCACCTCTGCCCACATATGTTCTCCTTCCAGTCCATGCACCACAGCAATCCTTGGTCATCTTCTGTTCCATGAGCTCCACCTGTCTCTGGGGGCATAGGTGGGACTTGAAGTCAGCTTGCCTCCCTCCCTGCTGCTCGGCTACAGCTTTTGTAACAAAATCCTCAGTGCTTACACATACTTGTGTAAAATACTGCACTCCTGGGGATGTGTGGGCTAGCTCAGGTGACAGCTCTGCAAGCCAGCCATCTCATTTGTCAGCCATCCCCACCAGGAGGCACGCCACATCTCCAGCAAAGCAAGGGATCAGAGATCTGTGCTTTCCCCAGCATTGCTGGTCTGCGTCTCCTTAACACAGCTACCTTTCTGGGGGGACTGCGCTGACAAAACACTCTCCTTCCAATGGTCCCTTATGTCAGACTGGGTGTAATCATCCCCTTTTCCCTAAGCATAATGTTGTTGGAAGAAATATGCCTACACCATTTCATGCACTGCCCCTTCTATTAGTCTTCTTGGGGTGGTTCTCTGGTCCTGTAGGCTACAGCAACCAGTTGGAGAGGGGCTGTTGGGAAAAGCCATGGGAAAAAGGGAGATAAAACCAGAAAAGAAAAGTCAGATTTGCTGTTGCATATAAAAGAACACCACAAAAATGTGTTAAAAGAGCAGTTGCACAGCAGGCTTTTCCCATGTTTAAGGCATATGGAAAATTCATTACTCGCTTCATCAGCACACAAAGTTCTGACCCAGCTCTGGTGCTGTGATACAGCCAAAGACATTCTGGCTTGTGAGGGTCCCTCCCACGAGGGGGGTAAGTGATGCTGGCACTTGGCACTGGGCTGTTGCACTTGATTCATCCAGCAAGACATCTACAACTTTGCCCTTCCAAGATGCACCAAGGTTTTTGGCTGGGATGTCTTTTGAATGAAAGCATTATGTTAAGAAGAATCATTGATTCACACCATTACAAAACATAGAAGTATATAAAATTTTCTTCCATATGAAAAGAATACCTTTTAAGAGCTAAATCCTGCTCTCCTCCAGTGCCACTGTGTATCTGGCATATCACCATTGAAGCCATAAGCAGCAGCAGCAAGGACAGGGGAATATTTAGAGAATTTTGCCTTTTCCATACCTCCCCATTGAAGCGGAGATGTTATCTCAAACCCCACATATTTAATCTTTAATATGTAAAAAAAAAAGTCAACGTATCAAAAATCAAATTGTTCTTGGAAATAGACATATTACAATCTACAGTGCTCCATTTGTAGGGCTACAATTTTAATGTACACCTTCACAGCTTGAATTTTAACATCTTGTTGCATCAAAGGTTGGAATTATCCTTTCAAACCTTACATCTAAAGCACAAATTTCTCATACTGCTAAGAAGCAGGTGTGCTGTTACTGCTGCTAGGGACTGTGCTGTGATTTTATCACTGTCTCAGGGAGACAGGCTTGATTTTCTGAGCTGCCAGCCCTGCCAGCTGAAGCTCTGACATGCACCTCTTCAGAGCCAGAGTTATGAGGCAGGTTGCACCACCTTAAATTGGCCTCACGAGAATCAAAAGTATCTCCTACTCCTTGCAGAAGACACATAGGAACAAGCATAACCCAAAATACTTTTGATACTTCCAACTTCAATTAGTAACAATGCCCTAGTCTGGAGCAAAAGAAATGGCTGAAGTCGGAATGGCCAGATCAACATGACATCAGCTCAGTTGTTTGGAGCATGGTTCTAATAACACCAAGGTTGTGGGTTTGATCCCTGTATGGGCCATTCATTTAAGAGTTGAACTTGATGATCCTCGTGGATTCCTTCCAACTCAGAATATTCTCTGATTCTGTGACATGTTCAGGAAGATTTTGCCTTGATGAACACCTGCTCAGAAAAACTTGCAGCTCTGTTCCCACAGCCAAATGTTTCTGCTCTGATTTGTTAGGCCAGTCCCCAGTTAATGCATTTCCTTCCATGGGAATTGACTGCTAGTACATCTGATCAATCTCTTTAAGAGGCTCTGAGCAGCAAGTGACCCTCAATTATTACAGACAGGCAACTTGTTTCTGTAAATTCTCCCTTAGGAAGGAGATCAGAATATATTCAACCTGGTCTCATTTCTTCTTCATGTATTTACTCTGCATATAAATTTAACAGATTTACAGTTGAAATCTACAGCAATTGTTACTTGTAATTTCTTCCAGCTGTAATGGAGGAAAGCCAATTCTCTTGATTCACTACACTATGTTGCTACATGAGGTGTGTCTGTTCCTTGGAAAGGGAAAAGCCATGGTCAGACCCATACGCTATTTCTCCCAAAAGGATGAAAGGATCTCTACTTTCATCCACAGGGAAGTGTGTTTCTCTAGAGGGTAAGCCAAGAGAGAGAACAGCACTGCAGGGAACTAACTCATTATTTGCCAGTGTGCTACTAAGAGAAGAAAGCAGGAGGAAGGGAACAAAATTTAATGACAGAACAAACAATTTGTTCCTTCAAAATGCACGCTCCCTTCGATACTGCTGGGCTTCTCAGAACTAACAGAACCTCTAGCTTAATGATCCCCAGATTGTAAAGATTAGATGCAAGTGAGGCTTTGTCTCCTCCTGTTTAAGTAGCCAAATGAATCCAGACCCCAGAGAACAAGGGGTCTCAGAACAATGTTTCCCAGATCATAAGCCAAGAAGAGTGTTTTTATAGGAAAACACATGCTACTGCATCACTTAAGAGGTTAAAAAAAGTCATCAAGAAGTCAGCTACTTATCTTGCTAGGAGCTTGTGTATGAAACAAGAGCTGTAAACCACGAGCTGTGCAGAGCTCAAGAACCACATCCGAAGATGTGCTGTCCTTGTCTCCCAAGGAGCAGCAAAGCAGCAGCCCCTCAGGAGCAGAGAGCATGTGATCCTTAGGCACACCACAGTGCCATGCTGCTGCCTTAAGGTCCCCTGTAGCAACTCCCACCTTACAGTCGACTCAAAGCAGGTTCTGCCTATTAGGTGATCACAGGCCCCATCCAATTAAATCTGACTAATGACATCTAGGGACCATTATTTGGAAACCCTGCATCAGCAGGTTGTTTTTAAGAAGAGAAGGAAATTAATAAGAAAAATCTCTGAAGACCAAAGTTCCTGAACTGACAAATACTCCAGCTATATCAACAGAAACTGATCCACAAAGCATGTCTTATGCTATTTTGGGTAAAGGACTGCTTATGTGCTGTGCACTAGAAGCAAACAGAAATGCGTGCTGACTCACCTGACCTGTGCATATTCTACAAACTGGAACCTGATAAATTCCGCTTAGCTGTGTCAATCTTCAGCTACATGGCCACTGAAAATACCACTGCACATGGCAACTGACAGCACTGCAATTTATTTACTAGTCCCCAGAATTCATCATGAGCCCCAAGAGTGGTTTCTCCATCAACTCTGCCCATTTTCATTTGGTAAACAGTGACATTTCCCCTGCTTTACAACTGAACCTAAAAATACCCTCTTTCATTTCATAACTTCCTGAACTTCATCAGAAATGTGTTTTATGCATCAAGCACAAGCACTGGGAACAAACTGGGGTTATGAATAGCTGTGAAGAACCAACAGAGGACTGAAGTAAATTCGGCATTGAAAGAATCATCTCCCTCTTGAGCAGGGAACGATGCTTTGAACAGATTACAAAATATCACAAATTGGAAACCTACACATCCTCTTTAAAAATACATTTGCAAGAAAGCAATTCAAACAGTATTCATAGTTTTGAGGTTTGGTTTTTTTGCTCATAGTTTATTGAATGAAATGAAACAAAACAGACAAATACAAGAAATAAGATCTGCATTCCTCATGTCTCATCTCCAAGGCAGTCCTTTAGAGTGAACAGCTAGGAGCTCCTCCAAGTACAAAGGCCAAGAGAGACCACAGTGCCACAATACCAGAGACTCTAAAAAGGGCAAGAATAATAAAATGCTGTTAGGCTACTTATATTAAGGGTTTAATTTTGGTCATATTAAGCCCTGAGATTCTTTTCCAAACCATGTCAGGCCAGAAGTTCATCCTTCATGAGCATCACTGTCACCACCTCACAAGGAGAGTGCACTTGAATCTGGAAATATCTCCCACTATCAAGCTTTCAGCTCGGCTGTAGGAAAAAAAAAACCACATCCACCCCACACCTGGGAGACTCTGCATCCCTCTCATCAAGCCTTTTAGAGATGGCACTACACTCAATAAGATAACCACCTCTCTGTTATGATAGCACATACACAGTTATGTGCTACTCATGGGGTAACATTCCCAGTTAACCTTCAATTCAATTTAAGATTACAGTCCAGTCGCTCAGGGCTGAAAACTCCCAAGTAGCCACCCAGCAGTCAGCAAGCAAATCTGCTTCTGAGCCCCTCGCTCCCCTGAGGGGCTGGGGCAGGAGAACAAATGCGCAGCAGGCTGCTGCTGTGACAGGGCCTTGGACCCTGAAAAGAATGCTTCCCCCGCTCCCCATTCCTGTGCTTCCCGCAACTCACTGCAGCAGGCAGTTCACGCGCGGAGAGTGCCTCCAGTGGCGATAGACGGAAACCGGCAGGTGAGGGTGGTGCTTGTAATCCCGCAGGACGAGCCTGACGCTGCAATGAAAGCACATGTCTTGAGCTGGGGCTTGCAGGCTGCTTACAGCATCCCACATCTCAGGGCAGGAATCTCTATCTAAGAGCTGTTACAGCAGAGAGAGGGTGGGACGAAGACTTGGATCAGAGGAGCAAAGGACAAAAAATTAAGACTTTCTGACAACTTACTGCTTATATTTATTGGAGAGCAGAATGAACTGGTTCTTTGAAAGCCGTCTGACATCAAAGTGACAAAGACCTTTAAACTCCTGGTAAATCTGTCTCTCATTCAGGCCTGGCCAGCCTTGGACATGAACAACCAAGGCAGGGGGACGATGGCAGGGAGCATCTTCCCCAGAAAAATTCTGGAAAATATACAATATTGAGACATATCTGAATTCAGAAATACTACAGAAGCACTGCAAATATAATCAGAAAATATGCAAAACGTGACAAATAAATGACACAGCTGTATAATACAGCTGTTGGTGTAAAATTATTTTTCTTTTGTCCCAAGATTCATCAGTTATAAAAGCAAACTTCTTCATGATCACCATGGAGAAACCACCAGAGAAACAGCAACATAAACTGACTAGTGCCATCTTACAGAATAACAATAAGAAAACATTTCACGAAGCAGAAATTCAATTCATTTGCTGTTTCAAGAGGTCCATTGTGTCACTTGTTTGATGACAATTTTCCGTGAAGATGGGCTCCAGCACTGGTGGATTCTTCTCCTCTAATGAAGCCACCAGCTAGGCTACTGACCTATGCACCCCGCAAACTAGTCACAGACCTGAAATTCATACGCACAATGCTTGAAACACCACCTCGTATGAAATTCACTTGGTTCACATGCTCAGCTAACACGGTGAGATACTGTGAGAAAGAAGGATGAGCCTCCACTGAATCCCTAAATCAAAAAACAAAACAGAACAAAGTTTTGTTTCTCCCCAGTGCTGCACTGCTGCACAGTGTCAAGCTCTTCAACCAGTGACAAAATAGGTATTTTAGATCTTGGCATCTACAGATGTCAAAAAGCTGTAAGGAAAAGGAAGGGTTTTGAACAGTTGCCTCTTATGAAGTTAACTGAAGGCACTGATTCACAGAGGTTTCAAAAATGGAAACTAATGGAAAATTATTTGACCCTTACCCAAGTGAACTGAACTTGAGAGAGCTCATTCAAGAATAAAGAATTCACAATGTCATTTCCCAACCTCTGAGCCATCGCGTGGCCCCTGATTTCATTTTTAAAATGTCAGCTTTGACATAAATCTACTACTTTCAGATTTATAAAATAAAAATCCAATTAGAACATGACATTTCCAGTAACACTTTCTTTTATCCAAAAGGAAGGACAGCCTGCAAAACAAAAAGTCAGCCAGAGCAAACGGATGACTGCTTTCCATAGGACCATCCATGTAACACAATTTTCTGTAAACACTTACTCTGTGGATCTGCACAGTAGCAAATGAGCTGACATCAGAAGAACTAGAAGGAATAATGAGATGGCATTAGAACAAAGCTAAAGAAACATACCTAAAAAAAGAGAAAGCAAAAATTCACTAAAGTGCAGCTAAGTTACTAAGAGCAACAGACTGTATATAAACAAATATTTCTTAGTATCAAATAGAGCTACAGAGCAGGAAAGGAAATGCCAAGTCCCAATACAATCTCTGAAGGAGTGTTTAAGAAGCATTTTACCTGAACCACAGAGAAATGCATCATAGCCTGCCTCATGAGGAGATTCCTTCTCAGCTGTAAGCGTCCAACAAAATCAAAAAGTAGTAAACACATTTAGCATGCTTTGAAAACTGCGGCACTGCAGAATCCTAACATTCGTAAGATCTACTGTTCTGGAGGGGTTTTTCTTCCCCCACCCTCAGCTGTTTCTTTCCTCACCTGAAAATTTTACACTGTAGAAAGTCTGTGCTTCTCCCACGTATTTTAAAACAATATCAACAAAAAGGCAGCAATTACATTAATGTCTGAAAAGCTTAGCAAGATGCACGTGAAAAAATTAACTTCTATGAAGGTCTACATCAAACTGTGTTGTGTATGTTATTGATGGTATGGGAACTATTTCAAAACACAGGAGGCTCTGTGCTGCAGAGCTGCCAGGAGAAGCCAGAAAACATCTGCCTCACAGCCAGTATCACACCACATACTGGACACAACCTCCTGCACACACAGCACCACTAACCCTGCACACACAACAGCCACCAAGCTCCTCTTACTTTCCAGGACCTCATTGTCATTAGCTCCCACTACTTTCCCTTCTAGGACAGCTGTTTCCCCACATCCCTTGCCCTTTCCAAGTGCTACTGACTCTTCACAGCCTCAAGTCAGGCTCAGCTCAACTTAATGTCTGTGCTCGCAGCACGATGCAAACCTGCCCTGCATTACCCTTGGCAGGTACCAGGGACATGCAGAACATGGCTTGGGAGCCCAGGCTTTGGATCTGGACAAAAATGTGTATCAGCACCTCTGTGCAAATTCAGCTGACCCAGTGGCACTCACCCATACTTTGCATGTGGTCATCCACAGAGTAAAACAAAACAAACCTCTTTTATCTACCCACTTTGAAGATTTGCTTAAGAACATACCGTATCTTGAGCAGTCACTTGCAAGAGCTATAACTGGCCACAGTGGATCTTTGGGATTTAGGCTGCTGCTGAAGACAAGTTGATATGTAAGATTTTTGTCTTTCTTCAGTATATTAGAGACAAGTTCCTGTTCTCTAGTGACCTGTAGCTTCACTTCAGAAAAAGTTACTGAAGACTTTAAAAGGAACTTTGGTAGTATTCCATGAAAAGGCTAAAATGTTTACCTGAATAATATCTACCAGTTTTCTTCCTGAAAACGAACTCCTAAATACTTCTTCAGCTTCTTCCCTCACTCAAAACTTGTAACCAGCAAATCTTGTCTAATTGCATACCTTAAAATATGAGCAGAACTAAAACTCCAAGGAAAGGGGCTGACTAGAGGGTTCTATTTGAATGGGAAACCCTGAAGGATAAACAGACACCCACAGAATGACTGAACTAAAAGAAAGATCAAACAAGCATAAAAACTCTGAGAATCTGTAGTCTGAAACTGCTAAGAAACAAGCAAACAAAACCTCAGAATCCCATTACTGTTTTGATCAAATACTCATTTTGCATCTCATTCTTGGGAGCAGGGGGTAAGGGGAAGCAGGCAAAATTTTGCTTTCCTTAGCAAAATTAACATAAAAAAACTTAGACACAAAAGAAGTGTCAAATAGGAGAAGTCTTCTACTACATCGGACTAAGCTCATGAGATATGGTACCTACTCATGTTCTCCAATTGAACATTGTATTTAGTTACTGCTTTGGGCTCAGAGCAGCCCTCTCTTAGGAGCAGGCATTTGAAATTAGGATGTATTTTCACCAAGAACTGAAACTTATTCATTTCAGAACATTTTAATTTTCAAGTTGCATGTACAGCTGTCTGAAAACCAAATTTGTGACCCATGAAGTAATGGTGATACAATATCAGAAGTGACTTACAACAAATAATTTACTACACAATTACTTTGTAAGAAAGATGTGCATTTTTTGCTCTTGAATCTAGAAAGACAAGAAACCAATTGAAAACCACCTGGGAGGAGAGAAAGTACGAACATATGAAATGACTGACTTGGAAATATCTTTCCAAAGAAAACAGAGGGATTGCTGAAGGCTATATTGCCCACCACTTACCTGCACAAAACTGCATACACCTCTGAAAGACTAGATACTCGAGGAAACAGATAATTCTAGAAAAGAAGAATGTGTTAGAAAACCAACCAAGACAGACCTCATTAACTCACTCGGTAACTAACCTCAGCAAGAGCTCAGTTACTTGGACTGATGATTCATTAAATGAGATCTAAAATTAGAACGTCCCAGGGCAACACTGAGAACTGCTTCCAATTCTGTAACCACAGCGCAATGAGGAAAGATACCCTCTCTTATGGGTGAAAAACAAGCTTTAACTCCAAACTAAGAGACCTGTGCATCTCACCTTCTTCATAGATTTTGTTATAGTCTTGGTGTCTATGATGACAGGAAACAGGTTGTGAATGTTCCTTTTAAACTCCTCATAGCTTTCTGAAAGCAAAACACATGTGGAGAAAGGCATCATGAAACTGGGGACAAGCCAATGATATCACAAGTTCATAGGAAACAGAGCTGACAGCAGACAACAAGGCACTGCTCCAGCAGCTGGGGCTCAGAAGAGCCAACTGTCACTGCCACTTTTGGGTGTGTGGGGTGGCAAAAGGCTACTGTGCCTCCTGTTCCACCCCCACTGCAAAGGCAGCAGCCTGGGGCAGCACCTATGTACAGCATTACCTGGAAGGGGCTTGTAGAACTTGTCATGAAGATGCATAAGGTCCATAAGCATGTTGTGTCCCACCAGGGGCTACGGGAAGAACACAAACATAACAGCCCATTGGAGCACATTTCTGAAAAGAGCTCAGAGATAACCAACTTTAGGCAAGCCCAAAAGCTGTAACCCTTTCTTACACTAGACAGATCCACACATGCTCACCCAGGAGTCATTCAGGCTGCAAGGCTCACAGGAAGACTACTGCTTCCAGGAAATCAGACTTGTGGACTTTGAGGAGAGTATTTTTTTAGCAGCATTCTATTTTCAGTGGATCTAAGGAGCTAGGTGGATTTTCAGCTCAGCTGAACATTGGTAAAATGTTCCAGCCATCAGATTTATACACTTATTCACAAGGGCAGGGACAGTCTTTGCCTGCACATCACCCGCAGTCTTCTGAAGCTGAAATCCATTCAATAAACTGCATACAGAACATAAGAATTTCCACACAAAGTCAGACCAATGGTCTACATGGTCCAACAAACTGGTCTGTCACCTGCTGAAAAGCATAACTTGCCCAAAAGGCAAGAATCTGCTCAGTTTTCTTAGATGGTGACTCACGTTGTGTAACACCAGGAATTTTTAAGACTGGAATTAACACAGCAAATTAAAAAGACATGGAAAATGAGAGTAGGGATAAGGCATTTTACCTTCTTGGCTTCAACAAGTATCTGGAAGAGGTTGGTGAAGCCCCGGGCAGACAGGAGAATGAGCTCCATCTGACAGGGGTCACAGGAAGAGTTCTCCAGAAGCTGACGATGCTGTGGACTCACTTTTTTCACCATTACCTGGAAAGAACAGTCATTGGGTATCTCAGCCTGCCATGTTAGTTTTATGTACATTGTTTACTGGGGCTCAGTAATACTGAGGACAAGTTCAGCTTCAAGGCTGCAAAGGACAGAGAAACTGTACATAGTTCAATTTAACTTGATAACAATATGGTAAGCTCATTGCATCAAAAACTCAGTAACAAACAGCAATCACACAAACTGAGTCCCCAAAGGCAATGTTTCAGATGAGAAGGCTTAGTAAATCTGACACGGTTGACATTGGTTATCAGACCAAAATAGGACTAATACAAAAAAAAAAAAAAAAGACTTCTGTAAACAACTTCTAAGCAACTGACTGGTATCACACTCATGCCATGGTTTGAGAAGTCCACAGCCATACGTTTAATACAGAAAATATTGCACCAAATGCTAAATAGCAGTAGCGAATAGCAAAACAGCAGATCATGTAACAGAGAGTAAAAGTCTTCAAAGCAACTACGTGGCAAAAGTCAGCAAAGGAAAACCACAAAAAAGACTAAAACTGTACATTGTTGTGGAGGTATTGAAGGAAAAACCTAGTAAAGACACAGAGAGGGTCCCTCCAGAAGTGCCCCAAGGATAAGCATTCCAGTTCAATGTATTTTGTGGCTACCGAACAAATAGAAACCAGAGTTGCTCAGTTTTCTGTATACCTTTTCCTGGGATCCCACAATCAACATTCCCCAGAACATTGTCTTCTCTGCCTAGAGCCTATCATTAAAAGTACAAGCAACATTTCAAAATCCCTGCAAGAATGTCAGTCCTATCTGTCTAGACAAAAAGGTCCACATTTCCATCTCACCTTCTTGTTTCCAAGAGGCTCTGTCCAAACATTTTGGAGAGCCTGCCTCAGAACCAGCTGAACTTCAAGCACATGATAGTCTGCAATAAAAACAAAAGGAAAAAGAAAAAAGTAGTAAAAGCTTCAGAGGTGCAGACAATCCTCTAAGGAAAACACATTTTTCTAGACAGAAGGACTGACTAGGTGTTTCTCCTCCAGTGTATAGAAAATATTCTTGAACTATAATCCTGGTATGCTACCAAACACAATGACAGAAAGAAAACAAAACAAAACAACAAAGTAAAACAAAAACACCAAACAAACAAAAACCCCACCAAAACCAAACAAAACCCACACCAAAAAAAAAAAGTCACAGTGAAAATTTCAGGCAAATAATCTTTTGTAAGGACACAGAAGAAAGGATAAGACTAACTGAAAAGAAAAGAGAGAAAGGCTATTCCTCTGAAGAAAAGACACTCTGTGGTTTTGGAAGGTTTCAGAGCAACAGAACCAGAAGCCAACCATGCAAGACACGTACCAATGCCTTTTCCCCCACAACTGATAAGGAACTAACCCAGTTCTCTTCTGAGCAGCATTCAAAGAGACGCCTTAATCTGTCTTACTGCTTACTTAAATAAATGTCTTGTGCTCACCATTGCCAGACTCTATTATCAGCACCATATCTACTACAGCTGACCAAGTAGATAAAAAACAGCACAGTCCCCACCCCTTTTATTCCAAACTCTGCAGAAAAACATCAACAGACAAAGTCTTGAATACTCTCTGTCCTTCCTCAGCTTTTCTGTATTTTATTCCCTGACCTAAAGGATTAAGCTTTGGGTTCTGTGAGCAACCCTACAAATTATTCCCTGCTAAAATTCCTTGTCCTTCAACTTCTTCAAAACAGCACAGAAATTCCTCAACTCTGCTATACTGCTCTCAAAACCTAGCACAGGTGGTAAGTAGCCTGCTTATCCCCACTGGTGTATGTGTCTCCATGGTGCTCCTTGCTGCTCGACAGGAGAGGGCACCTGAAAGGTGACATGCCTTTCCTTTCTCCAAGGAGAAGAAAATAAACAAAAAACCAGATCATCCAGGACTTAAAGCAAGTCAAAGGTTACCCTGATTCAGAGCAACTACAAATTCTCCAGTTGCTGCTCTGAAGAAGCACAAAATTACAACACAGTAGTCAAGTACAACAAAGCATGCTCCAAGCACCGAGACATCCACTTCGGAAAGACCCACCACCCCAATAGCGCAGAAAAGCAGAGTCCAGAGATGAACTCCTGACAGGAACTGAGGTGTAAACTTGGGTAAAGAGTTGTAAAGGCAGGATGGGCACTGGTGCTTTCCCTCTCAAGAGAGCAGTTTAAGAGAATGGGCAGCAAAGGACAGTAGCAGCCCCAGAGGTTCAAGAGAAGTGATGAAGCCACTCAGAGCCCACAGGTGCCTAAGGGGGGCACCCTGTTTCATACCACTCAGATCCTGCAGAATCATAGTCTCCTCTTCCTCTGCTACAGCTATCCAACAGGTCACTTCATCAATAACTTTCCTCAGCACATCTCTGTTCGCAGCACTAGTGCTGGATGAGGGGGAAAGAGGCAGTGTGAGAAATGCTCTTTACAGATGAAGCCTTGTGCCTTGCTGTGGGAATGCAAAAGCATCATTTCCCAACATTCACCCAATTCTCCACATTGTATCCTGTGATCTCAGTTTTGGTTCAGAGAGACTACAGCATGCTGGAACTGCTGGCACCAATGCATTCAGACCAACAGGCTTCAGTATTTCTACAAAACATCATCTGAGTGAAGCTGAGCCATCAACAGAGTCAGTACTGAGGAGCCACCTCTCTGAATAGTGCTCACCTGCAGAATGTCCAGCTACCTGCTAAGAGATGCTGCCTAAAGATCTTCTCCTGTACCTCATTCATGTATGGGATTCCATCTTTGAGGAACTGAGGGGGGGAAGAAAAACACCAGGTTGATTATATTCCCTTGGATTTTCCTGCAGTACATTAGAGAATTAGCAGGTTAGCCAGGGCAAACAAACTCTAGGCAATCCACGTATGGAGGAAAGAAAAGGATTTTTGTCAACTGGAATAATTGTTTTTGCTCTGCTTTTACCTTTCCTTTAATAAGATACTTCCAAGTGTCAAGATACCAGATGCTTCCTGTCTAAAACTGCAAGCTAGTACTCTTATGGGATAACATGGTCTGAATTTTATGGGAAATGTGGCAATACATAAGACACAGGTAAACTGATACTTCCCCATCTTCATGGCTAGTAAAGACACCCACAGGGGTCTGTTTAGTAACTTGTCAGCTCACCAGAGATAGGTGGGGTTTTGGGGTTTTTGTTTGTTTGTTTTTTGAGGCAGGAAAATCTGTCTTAAACTGACAAAGATGTGGTTATTGCCTCTACATTGGTTCAGAAAAAACAGCACTCACTATCCCTGTTGATAACGAACTGCATGATGCATTCAGCAAGATGGTATTTACCCCAGAAACATAGTGTTTAGGATACTAATCCTGATTTCTTCTGTAATTGCAGAGATTTCCTATCTTCTGGATTTTTGGCAGAGAGATTACATACCTTATTATAGTCAAAGCCATAATGAGACAGGAACTGAATGCTAGACGCAGAGAGGGTGAATTCAACATCCCTAACTCCCAGCATTGAGGGAAAGAGAAAAAAGTTGTATGAATGCACCACATACCTAAAATGAAAAGAAAAATATCTCTCGAAGATAATGACAAGAAATAACTCCCCGCAGAAGGACAATGTATAAAATCTCAACTGCACTGTCTTCATTATAACAGAAAACTGCTTTTCTACTTACTTGTTTGAATTTTCTTTTGAGAATATTGCCAGCCCTGTGAGAAAGAAACATCCATTCAGATGGCAAAGTTTAGCTGGATGCCTACAGATAGTGTGCAATTTGATAAGAGATGTGGGGAAGCCCTCATGAAGTACATGTTTTCCACTCACTAATGTCACAGTGCAAATCTTAACAGCAACTGCCAGGCCACTCCTCAGCTCCCTGAGAGCTGAACGAGGACAAGCCTTTACTGCTAAGGAAAGGGGAAAGGAGTCAAGTCTGATTAAATAAAAAAGATTGAGCAATGGCCAAGAGGCGAGTTGGTGATCAAAGTCTCTAACTATGCATGCATAGATGGGTCTGTGGTCCAACTACAATACAAAAATGTTTGGAAGGAGATGGGCACCAGAGAGTACTGAAACATGGGTTTAACTTCCCAGGTTTTGGGTTTTTTCTGTTAATCCCTAAAAGGCACACTAACATCTTACATACCCTAAGGCTTTGAAAAACATTTCAAATGATTTTGGAGCTTTCTTCTTGATTTCTTCTTGGTTCTTAACTGTCAATGCCCTCCTCCACAGGCCCATTCTCATGTTGATTTTTTTGTTATTTTAGGAGTATCAGAAATAGCAGCCTTCATTTTCTTCTGATAGTCCCCTTACTCACGCACTATATCAAATGATATGGCTTTGAATAGGAGCTGCCATTACATGCTTCTTGCTTGCATTCTCCGCTTTAAAAGCCCTATATTTTTAACTGCAACCTTTAAATATAATCAACTTCAGACCAGTAAAAAGTATTCAGTCCACCTGACATGACATTATTTAAAATATTAAAAATTTGATAGTATTAAACATCAGAGAGCGGAAAAAAAAAAAAAGTCTCTGTACAAGTATATTAAGGCCAGAGCCACCTACAGGACCCACCTGTTGGCAAAAGGCTGGTTACCTGTAAGACCTCAGGAGATCAATTTCTGTGTCAGAGCAGCACTCACCAAGCTGAGTAACAGTGAAGCGCTGAACACTCTGCTTGATCTTCAGATACCGCTCCACAGGGGAATCAAACAGGCTAGGAACGAAACCAGAATTGGGGAAAGGAGAGCGGACACATGAAGGTTTGTTACACACGGGTTGCTCTCTCACAGAGCTAGAGCAACAAGTCTCCCTCACGTTTCAAGTCCAACAGCTTTACCTGGGCTCGCTGCTTTGTGGGAAAGTTGAATACAAGCCAGTAAACTCCGTATCAAGGGCTGTTGAGGTGGAAACAACACAAGAGAATTTGAAATTTGAGGCATGTACTTCACCAGCACCAGGACGGGGCTCTCTCAAACACTTTTCTCCACCGCAACCTCTGTCAAACCCACCGGCGGCAGGCTCAAGAGAAAAGGCAACCAACTGCTGTGGGACTGAAGCCTCCAGCTCCCTGATCCCTGTGGCAGGATGAGGCGACGAGGCACGGCCACACACACGTCCCGCAGGAGGGGCTGGCTTCCGCCTGAGCAGTGTGTGTGCCCCCCAACCCCATAACCTCCGGAGCCCCCAGCCCTCCGAGTCGAGGCCAGCATCTCAGCGAGGGCTCCCTTCCCAATCCCTGCTGCCAGTTTTAAACTCCGGGCCTCGGCGGCCGCTGTTTCTTTGCACAGCAGCGCCATTATCCGCTGCAATACACCCCAGTGCTGGCGCCCCTACACCGGACAAGGCTAAGCCGCGCCCCTCCCCAGGGGAGCGGCGGCCGAGGGCACGGCTCGGAGCGGGCGGGCGGGATTGAATTTTCTTCACACCCCTGGGGCTCACCCACGAAGGCGGCGCGGCGGATGCGGCGCCTGAGGCGCGGCAGGAGCCGGGCGAAGCCCTCCGCGCCCACCTCCATCGCCGGGCTCCCCGCAGCCCTGGCCGCCGCGCCTGCGTGCCCGCCACTGCCCCGCGCGGCGGGACTCGTCCTCCGTAACTAATGGGAAAGGCAGGGCCGCGGCAGGTTCGAGGATAATCCGAGCGGCGAGAACAAAGGAGGGGAATGTTTTTTGAGAATCATGTCAGTTGAACTCTGAGGGCTTAGTACAGATGCCAGAACCGGGCCGGGCTCACGCCGCTCGCTGCTAAACCCCGGCACATAACCGTGGCGTTTATTTCTCCTTTCCCAGAGCCTACAAACACGTAGCAGCAAGGCACAGCACCAGGACGCAGGTACGGGAGTTGCACTGACCAAGCCTGGCCTCTCTGAACCAGGTGCTGCTTGACAGAGGGGTTCACATACCCTGAACACACTCAATGCCGATCACCTGCCAGAGGCACTGACAGCATCAGTCTGTGGATAAGCAGCAGGCAGCCACAGGAGACAATCGGGCTTCTTACTCCCTACAGATAGTATTTGTTCAGCTTTCCTCCTACGCCTATAAGGTTAAGCAGCTACAATGTCAGGGTTGCCGGAAACCTACAAGGATGAGTTAGGGGAATTCCATCGTTTTTACCAAGATTAGCCCATAACACTTTATTACAGTTCTCAACATTCACATAATGACTACATTTTGCTAAATTAGACTGGCAGCATACAGGGATCAAATATCAAAGCATTTCCAGAGTTCATGTTAGAACAAACAAAATGAAATATCAAAAATAAAATATACCTTAAAATTGTTGAATTATGAAGTAAATTCTGTCAACCTATCAGACTGACCTATGATAAATTTATTCTAGCCTTAAAGGTGTTGATCATTTTAGAATCAAGAATATGACACAGTTTTGCCCATTTAAAAGTATTTTATTATAAGATGACACATTCCAATTTTTTCCAGCTCTGGTCCTTCACTGTGCTAATACACAGACTTAAAGAAGTGATCATTTTTCCTTGGAAAGTCTTCCTAGAAGTCTCCATTTTACCGATAGATTCTTCGTGGCTCGCGCAGAACAACACCACCCTCCTCCATTGCTTTTTCGAATTCCTGAATCTTGTTTAAAAGATAGAGACATGAATAAATACAAAGAAAAGCCATCACTACTGAAATATCAGTGAGGACATGTTAGGTGGAGGGCAGAGCTTTACAGCCTCACGGAAGCATACTACCAGGAACTGCAGCTTGTCAAAGCTGCCTTTTTGAGTGTTGCAAGGAGGGACTGTCAAACCACATGAAGAAAATTAAGAGTGACGGGATGTAATATTAATGCCTAAAAAGGAAAAAAGAGACAAAGAAATAAGGAGATGGGTACTTGCCGAGTCACAACGATATTCCCAGGGGATAATGGCTTTAAAGTTCACAAAGTTGATTCCTGCTTCCAAACAGCGCTGTGCCATTACACGTCCAAGGTTTTTGCATGCAGCTACTCCCTTGGGACTGTACAAGTGTCTTTTTATGGCCCATTCTCGGGTGGAGGCAGATACCACAACATCCCCATTGGAGCGCTCAACAAAGGCTTCTATATAATGCTGTGTCCGCTCAAGCCGCAATCTAAGTGCAAGAAAGAAATAACACGGGATTATGTCTTTTCCAGAGAACACATTCATATACTTAAATTACTCCCTTTGTGAAATAAAGCTGAATGTACTAGCATGATATTATATTACATTACATTATATTATATTATATGTAGGGTTTTGCTTATTAGGACAGAAATAAGAATCATATTACTAGTTGAGAAGAGTGAAATTCCAAGAGTAACTTTTCATCAGTTACTCAGGTCCTATGTTGCCTCAGACCAGCATGCACTCCAAACCAAGCACTGTACACCTGCACAGTGTGGAACAGGTACATATGAGCTAGATGAGGGGAACTGCTCCAGCAGAAAAGGAGCTTTAGGGCTGCTATACACTCTCTTAGGGGCTTGTGCTGCCACAGCAGGCAAGAAATTGTTGAGAAAGTTGTCAGAGAAAACATCATAAATCTCTACACATAACTACACAGTATTTATTAGGAACAACTATTTCTTATTGCACTGAGGCAATTACCAGATTTCCCGGTGTGAACAAACTGAATGTGGATCTCTCCTCAAGAACAAAATAATGATTTTGAAACCCTAGCTTAAAATGAACTTATTTTCTAGAAGACAAGCAAATAAAAAATAAACCAACCCAACCAAGCAACCAAACCCCCTCCACCCCAAAACCTCACAAAAGAAAAAACCCAGACAATTATGTTGTCTCAAATAAAACAATGAAGCTGGTCAGCACAGAACTAAGAGAATCCTGAGTTAAAAAGCAGTTGCTTAAGCAATATTACTGCTGCCTTAATAAGAGATGGAAAGATCTTCACTGCACATGCTGAGCTTCATGTGATGCTAGTCTGCTGTTTTTTAAAACAGATACCTGCTCATTAATAAATACTAGCATGATAACTGATGCATCAACCCAGAAAACACATTTTGAATAGTTTCCACCTGGTGGGTTTCTGGGGTTTGTTTTGGGTTTTTTTTTGGTTTTTTTGGTTTGTTTTTTTTTTTCTTTTGGAGTCTTCATTGCTGCTGGTGACTTTCTGACTCACCTATGCCAGAACTCACGCTTTGGCCATGTTGTCTTCCAGCCACGCTCCTTCCTAGCCAGGGCCAACTGCTCCAAGTTACGAGGATTTCTGTTAGTGAAGTCTGGGGCAACAACCTCATTTTCGCTAGTGTCCACTTTGATCTCAGTTTTGAGACCAGCTGTAGTTGATGCAAAATGAAGACCTTGGGGGGAGAGCCGGAAAAAATACCACACAGGTTAAAAAAAAACGTAGTGCAAACAGTAGAATGAATACAGTACAGAATGATACAGCTTGTAAAAGTCAGCAGAGCAAAATCAGGTTTGTGTGGGTTTTTTTAAACACACTTAACAGATGTATAACAAGACCTCAACCTGTTCCTCCAATTTATGAGGTGAACTGCTAGCATATAAACGCTGTTTCAAAACTTACATATAAAATATAAACTCACACGTGACTAGGAAATCCCTAGGACCAAGGCTTTACAAAATACTGAAAACGAATTACACAAGGAACCAGTGACAACGCTACCAAATAACAAGGAATAATATTTCATTCCTTGGCACAGCAGCACCGCCAAGACGCCCCGGGAGCGTTCCCTCGCCGGGAGCAGCCGGCACGGCGACCCGTGAGCTTACCCGCTGCCCGGAGCCGGCCGGCCGCCAGCAGCAGGCGGCTGGGGCTGCGCAGCGCCATGAGGAGCCGGCGCCTTCACAGCCCCGGGGGGCGTCACCTCTGCTCCCTCCGCTCACGGACACCTGGGCGCCGCCATGAGCGTGGGGCGGCACTTCCCGCGGAAGCGGCCGCGAGAATTCCACCCGACGCGGGCGGGGTCAGGCGGAAGCAGCGAGCGCCGGCTGAGCGCCGCTTCCAATGCAAACGCCCCAGGGAACTGTGCTCTGGTGTCAGTCACGTCTCACAGAATAGGGCAGAAAACACTTACCCGACACGAAGGGTCATCTTTTAACTCTTCCCCGTGAGAAGAGGGCTTGAGGGAGATACCGGGTTGCAGAGGCCAGTCTGCGTTTCTTGGGACGGGTCTAAGAAAGCGGGAGCTGGGGGCATGGCAGAGGTGGGCGGGGGGCTGCGAGAGGCCCGAGCCGCTGCTCGTGGTAACACGGTGCCGCTCTGCCCGGCGGGGGGCGGCTCTGTCGCCGCCGAACGGGCACACGCGGGCCCGCGGCAGTGCCGGCCTCGGCTCCTGCAGCCTCGCTCCACTTGCGGGCAGTATATGGGAATAGTAGTAGTATAATGGGAATAGTTACAACTCGGAGACCTTCCCTTCGAACAATGCAGTTGTTGCTTTTGCTTTAGAGGAGTAATGACAGCGTTCTAGAAGAAATGACATTGTACCAAAGGTGCCATTATCAGGTGCAATCTCAGTCGCAGGGCTCTTAGGATCATCAGGGAGCAGGTCTTCAGCTTTTTCCTTTGTCTACTCAGAATCTGAGATCGGTCTCGGAATTTGCAACATTCCCCCAGGACTTTGGGTACATCCTAAGCGATGTGGAACGTGTTTGAGAACCACAATTAAAGACACTTATCCCGAGGACGGCCCCAGTTCCAAAGGCAGCCTAGTTCCCTGTGCTGGTCAGCACGGATCTCCCGCTGCCGCTCCCCGCCTACTCCGCGCCCATTCTTCCCCCCGGCGCCCCCCGGGACCGGAGGAACCCCGCACGCCTGCGCACGCAAGCCCCCAACACCTTCTAGAAGCTCCTGGAAGCGCCCCCGCCCCACGTCGCGCGCCGGCTTTGTTCAGGCGCGCCCGCCAATCGCGGCTCGAGGCTAGGCGGTACCGCGCCCCAGGATTGGTCAGGCTCGAGGTGTCTCCGCCCCCCGCGCGCGCGCAGGGCCGGCCCCTTTCCCACCGCCCTCTCGCGGGGGGAGCGGGAGGCGCGTTCCCAGCGTGCCTCGCGCCGCTCCGGCGATCGTGCCACTCCGCGCCCTGTCTTGCCTGTGCCTGTAGCGCCGCGGCCGGGCGGGAACATGTCGGCAATGGAGGGGCCCTTGGCCGTGTTCGGCGAGCGCACCAGCGGCGATACGGTCCGCACGCAGAACGGTAACGGCGGCGCGCCCCGGCGGGGACCGGCGGAGGGGGGGCAAGGGAGGGGCATGAGGGAGTGAATATGGCGCGGCCATGGTCACCGCCGCCATGTGCTCGCCCGGGAGCGGCCGCGCCCTCCCGCCAGATTCCCTGCGCCCCGGGCCGCTGCCGCCTGCGGGGAGGGAAAGAAGGCGGGGGGAGGCACTGCTCCTTCCTGCGGGCAGATAGGGGATACGCGCAATCCCGCGCCTCTCGCAGGCGTCCGAGTGGTGGGGGGCATCCCGCGTCCCGCGACCTCCTCCCCTTGGTAGCGGCGCTCACCGGGGGCAGGGCGGCTGCTGGGCGGAGGTCGCTCGGTTCCGTCCCGACTGCGCAGGGCGAAA